AACACGACCTACAGAATATCCCTATGGAAGTTCAAGACCAAATGATTATCGATATCCATCAGAATCAACACGACCTACAGAATATCCCTATGGAAGTACAAGACCACGTGATGATGATAAATATTCAATTGGTCAATTAGTTCGACCTCGTCCTATTCGTGAAGATGTTTATCAACCAAGTAGTTGTTGTGAATATTCTAAACCAGTTCCAACAGCTAATATTATTGCTGATCCAATTCGTCGTCCATATTATGGTAATGCACGGCCAGGTAATTTAAATATTAGTATAAAAGTTAATGTTGGTGGTAGTAATCGACCTGCTCAAGTTTCATATGTAACAAATGATTATGCATCAAAACCACCAGCTATTCGCTCAGCAGCAACTTTTGATAATGTTCATTATCTTGATTTAAATTTTCAATCACCACAACAAACGGCTCGAGTTACAACGGATGGTATTTTACGTTCTACACCATTACAAAATTCAACTGGTTTTCCAAGAGAAACTTCTTATTAATAACTATCAATCTAAATTTTGAATAACTATTACAAGACATTTTAGTGTGTAAACTTGATTTTATTTATCAATCGAGAATAATAAATAAAGATAACAGAAAAAAAAATACTTGTTTTTCTTTTTTTTTTGTGTACTAATATAATAAATAGGTTTCAAAATATTTAATATTTCATTTATAATAGACTTATTCAAATTATAAAAAACTTTTAACTAACAATATTTTTCGATCATATCAGTTGTATTTTGTATAATCGAAAAAAATTTAATCATGATAGCAAAAGCAACATACGATTAATAGAGTCGTATGAAATAGTAACAAGAATTTTTCGCACTTGAAATAGTTTGTTTCACCAGATTTTAATTGTGAGATCTACAAGAAATAAATGATATTTATAATAGCAGATAAAGACATATATATTTGACAATCCATTTTTTGCAGCAATACAAGCATCAAATTTTTCATTCCATGATTTTTGGATCTAGACAAATTATTCTGTCAGTCTATTAGGAGTGGTACATTGCTATGACTTTTTATTACTATTACTCAGCAATTGGTAATAATAATTATTACTTGTTAATTTTTATTACACTTTGCTTTACTTTTATTATTTTAATAGTAACCTCTGTTGCAAAAGTCTTTAGACAAAATGTCTATTCATTTTTCAGCCGTCTAAACGTCATTAATGAGAATCAAAAGTAGTTAGCTAAAATCAGATTTTTGTGCTCTTTTCGAATATCTGATCAGAATATTTCACTGACTCAATATTGATTAGGGACAAGCCAAATGTTTGACAGAGTCGAAAATGATGTTCGTACAGAATTTTATTGGATGTATTTTTGTATTTTGATCGATATCTACTCTACGCAAAACATGAAAGATATTTTCATCAGCCAATTTTATAGAGCGAAGTTTGCTCTACAAACTATGCTATTTAGTTTGGTTTTCTATCTCGAAACAAATACATGCAATCTGTTGTATTATAAATAGAAGATCTTGGAAAACTGACTTTTGGCAGGATTCTATTTTACGTACCAATCAGTTCTCAGAAAAACGTCTACAACCTTTTATTCATTTGAGTTGAAGCCTATTGTCATATATAGTTTTATAGAGAATTGAATGCTCTACAAATTGCAAATTTCGAACTGCTTCAAAATCCAACTTCCATAAGTAATGAATAGCGGGAAAACATGTGTTTTCTTCGTCGAGATGTCATTCTTTTTGCCTCTTTCAAGTATTAACTTACAGCTAACCAATCTTAAGCTAAAGAGATATCCTGAACACATATCAGAAAAGAGCAGATAAGACTGACTCTAAGGATCTACTTTTGGTTCGTATCAAATACTTTTAGCGGGTGAAAGATGAACAAACATTTGCAGAATGACTTTTTGTACAGACATCATTTTTCACTCTGTCAAACATTTGGCCCATTTCTAATCAATGTTAAGTCAGAGAAATATTCTGATCAGATATTCGGAAAGAGCACAAAAATCTGATTTTAGCTAACTGCTTTTGATTCTCACCAATGACGTTTAGGCAACTGAAAAATGAATAAACATTTTGTCTAAAGACTTTTGCAACAGAGGTTACTAGAGCTTTGATTCTTTCTTACTAGCGAAAGATGAATTAGTTTCCTGTTAGTTTATTACCAATTACTGTTATTATTTTCAAATTTTTATTAGTTTATTATCAGTAATAAATAATAAAAAATATTATTACTTTATTACTGATAATAAACTAATCAAAATTTGAAAGTAATAAAAGTAATTGGTAGTAAAGTAATAAGTAACAACGAGTAATAATTATTACTGTAATAAAATAATAACAAAACAACAAATACAATACAATACAGATAGAGAGAACCGGTACGGTATTGGTACATAGATTTTATTTATTGGTCAAATATTTAGGGTTAGTACAGTTCCAGATCATAAGTTCAGATCAAATGAGCGAAAGAACTATTCGAACGGATCGATCCGAGGTTAAGAAGCTATCTACAACTTTTCAAAACCTATCGAGGAGTGATTTCTATAACTGTTCAGAGCCATCTAGAGGTGGTCGCTATAGCTGTTTGAAGGCTATTGAGTGATGGTTCCTATAACTTTTCTTGGTCAAACAAAGGATGGAGCTTCAACTTTAACGTTAAAGTTAAAGTGTCATCCCTATATAGCCTTCAATAGGTTATAGAGATTACTGCTAGATATACGGACTACCCACGGAAAAATTTTTCAAGAAAAAACCGCGAAAGTCAGACCGTTTATGCGGTTATTGAAACCGGCGAAAACCGCGGTGAGAACCGAGAAAACCGAGGTCCGAGCTGAGTTTTTGCAGGACTAACCGTATTTTTTTCTGTTCTCACCGCGATATTACAAACCGGCGGTTTCAACCGGTTTTTAAAAGACGCATAAGTGGTCTGACTTTTGCGGTTTTTCGAAATGTGAAACAAAACCGCGGTTAACCTCAGATTACCGCGGTTTTTTTCTGAAAAATTTTTCCGTGAATACCCCTAGATGAACTTTGAAAAGTTCTAGGGTCACCCTAGATAGACTCTGAAAAGTGATAGTGCCCATTTCTAGATAGTCTTCAAAAAGTTACAGGGACTACTTCCTAGAATGGCTCTGAAACTTTAGATCGGATATTCTGATTTATACCGAGTCCTAGTTGAACATCATATTTTATTTTCTGATATTAATTTACGAAAAAAAAAATCGAAATAAATTGAATTTCTTGTAGATTCATAAGCATTCTCGTAACACTTTCGATATTGATATTGGAAATTTTCATTTTAATAAACATCAAGATGACATGACAATACTTAAAAATACCTATTTCATTATTCAGTCATCATGTCTTATTTATTTTATGAAATAGTCAAGTTTTTATCTTTTTATTTGATTTTTTTATGCACATTATTAATGAATCATTATAATTTATAATAGACAAAAGTCATAGAAGAATATTGTCAATCAAATTAAATTCAACACTTGAAATGCACTATATTTCAAAGGAACAAAACAAAAAAAAAAGCTATATACTGTTCCATATATAAAAAATACAAGATATGTAATTGATTTTTAGTAATAGATGTTGATTACGTACTCATGATAGTGCTTTAGTATTGCTCACTTATCAATGACGGATCTAGAATTTTGGGAAACGACGATCATGACTTCGTAGTACTCTCTCGAAATCAATCAAATCATAATATGCATAGAAATGATACAGATATATCTTAAATGATAGAATCGTTCTACTCGATCAAAAATTATTTTTGAACATTCGAACTTATTAAAATCTAACTTGACTATATTATTTCATCATAATAACTTACATATATAAATATAGATAAGTACGTCTCGGTACCTATTCTATCAAGATCACGATCAATTTGTTTTCTAACCAGAGTTCGGATGTTAAAAACGATTGATTTCACTCATATCAAATCTTTTGTTGTAATTTAAAACTTGTTTGCATATTGAAATAAATATTTAAAAAAAAAAAAGTATCTCGAATTATTTTTTTTTTATTCGTAAATCTCATAAATATATATAAATTCTTATCACATTCAAATATTTATCTAGAGCAAAAGATTTTTTTAATTTTCTCTATTTACATAAACCAAAAAAAAAACAAATGAATATATGTATTGATAAGATTTTTTTTGTTTTTCATATTCATCATCATAGTTCAATTGATGTCAAGCGTAGTTTTTCTCTCCCACAACCTTAGAAATTCGGCCAACATTGATTCTATATTTTCGCACGAAAATTTCATTGGTTCATTTTTTTTTTTTTCTTCGTATAAAAGAGAACAAAAAAAAAAGCCTTCAATGCACACACCTTCTTTTATTTGTATAAGAGAGTAACTCTCAACAAAATACAAAAAATAAAAGAGAACACTTCATTTCCACTAGAGTATATCGTTCGGTAAGTAACATTTGAATTTAACATAAACAATATTTGACTATGTCTCTATCTGTTTTCTTTTTTTTTTTTTTTGGATTCAGTTAAAATATTACTTTTCGTATCTTCCTTTTTTTTTTTTTTTCTTATCATTGAAATAAACGAACAAAAATAGATAGAGTCTTATGTCATTTCATTATATGCGACAAACATCAGCAGTGTTTCATTCTCATAATCGAATATTTTATCATATTATAGATTGTCTTTAATAGAAGTCAAAAAAAAAAAAAAACGATTAACAATCAACGTTTTTTTCTTTTTATGAAATAATTTATTTATATCAATTACAAAATTTTTTTTATTGAAATTATGCAGAATAATTTACAAAAAGATACAACATTTACAAAAATATTTGTTGGAGGTATTTAAAAAAAAAAAAAACTATTTGTTCATTTATATTGAATTCGAATAAAAAAACAAATTTATATTAAAGGTTTACCATATCATACAACAGATGAAACATTACGAGCTTTTTTTTCTAAATTTGGTGAAATTGAAGAAGCTGTTGTTATTACTGATCGAAGTACAGGAAAATCACGTGGTTATGGATTTGTATGTTAAAAATTTTTTTTTTTTTTAAATATTTTTCTTAATTTTTTTTTATATAGGTAACAATGGCAAGAAGAGAAGGAGCAGAAGAAGCTGTTAAAGAACCAAATCCAACTATTGATGGACGTCGTGCTAATGTTAATTTAGCTTATTTAGGTGCTAAAAATCGAACGACAACTTTACCATGTATGTTTAGTTATTCATAATAGAAATATTTTTAATATCTATTTTTTTTTTTTTTGTTTTAGTCAATTATAGTCTAATCGCTCGTATGCCTACATATCAATCAACAGCTGCTGCTTATCCGTATGTATATAATTATTAATCATTAGAAATTAAATTTATTATATATATATTTTTTTTTTTCATATGCAAATATAAATGAAATATCTGATTTTGCATATAGATTTGAATTTTGAGAAGGAAGCCATTTGTTTGTTTTTAATTGTCTTTTTTTTTTTGTTGCATCAAATAGGCTTCTCTTCTTGTTCTATCCGTCTTGATCATTTTTGATCAAATTGAAATAAAATGAGACACACAACAATACAGGAAAAAAAAAAAAAAAAAAAGAAATCTTCAGACGAAATAATAATGTGAGTGCATTTTCTGCCGATGGCATTAAAACAATAGTAACTAATATACAATAGAAGACAGAGGTGAAAAAGTTGGATAAACAATTATCAACTTTTCATATGTTAGAGTTGAAATAAAAGAACAGAACAGAACACAATACACAACGACAAAATAATATTCTTCTCTCTACTCTCTCTCTGTATAGGCTAATACAAAGTGCTGCCAACGGATGAACAGCAAAGTGATTTAAATGAAAAAAAAAAAGGTGCTTGTAGGTGTTTTTTTTTTCGCGTGCTCTGACCGTGTTTTTTTTTTGATTTGGTCGTTTACGTTTTGTTTGCCGTGTTTGTATATAAATATCCAACAGAGTCTAACGATTTGTTTATTATTTATCATGATTCTCTTAGTCCTTATACGACACTATTAAAACTTATTATAAAAGCTCTATTTTTTTCCCTATACATATATATATATATGTGTGTGTTTTATTTTGTTTGTTTGTGTTTTGGCTCTCTTTTGTGTTTGGTTTGACCTCGATCAATTTGCCAGAGAATTTGCATAGAAAATTTTCTAGAAAAAAAAAAAAAAAAAAAAGGACAAAAAATATTACTTAATAATAATATTTTTTTTTTTTTGTTTATTTATTTAGTTCAAATGTTGTGTATTATCCATTAGCACAACAATCAACTCTTCAACAACCTGTTTATTTAACACCAACAACGGCTACAACAGCAACAACATGGCCAACAAATTTATTTTCACAATTTAATCTTGCAAACCTATCAGCTGGAACAAATTCAAATACAAATGTATCAACAACATTAAATACAACAAATACAACATCACCACAAACAATATATGAAGTACCAACAGCTCTATTTGAATCAACATCATCAACAAATGGACAACAATTATATTGGCCGAGTTATAGTTAACTTTTTGTTTTTATCTTTTTTCTTGTAATAAATCTTTTCTTGTTTTTTAATCATCGTTTTATTTCTCAGACAACAAAAAAAAAAAAAAAAATTAAGACATATAGAAATAAATAAGCAACACCGAAGGATAAAAAAAAAAAAAAAAGGAAAACTACTATGAACGTGGTTTAAATTGTTCACCATCAAAAGGTAATTTGAATTTTTTTATTTCAACCATTAATTGATGAACATTAGGTAATGATATATTTGACGATGCAGTTTTTAAATTTGTATTATTTGATAATAAACGTTGAAAATCATGATAATAAGATAAAAATTGTGTAAAAACTTCTTTTAATATTGGTTGACTAAGTTTAAGTGATGGAAATGAACGAATAACATCATTATGTATTAAATCAAATGTTTTTTTAAAATCACCAGTAAATAATTTACTAATTATTATTAATTTATCTATTTTTCAATTAAAGTAAAAAAAAAAGAAAATCTTTTTTATTCTAAAGTTAATTTAATAAATTTTTACTTTCTAATTGTTTTATATTACTATCGGATAAAAATTGATCACTATCACGAACAAATGTAATTAATGGAGAAAAATATGGTATTAAAACTTCTTTAACATATTCATCAATACGATCACGAAGTAAATTTTTAACCGCATCACATTCGGGTGAATCTTCATTTGTATATGCCTTTAAATACAACAACAAAAAAAAAAGAATAAAAATAATTAAAAGATTTGAACTATATCAAAAGATTTAACGAAAAGAAGAGTATCCTGCTTTTCAACAATCTCGCGATAGATTCAATAGTCTGATATTTTTCCTATAACTAATACAAGTTTTAGTTTTGAGTAAGAGACCGATCTAATGCAGAGTTATTGTGCTTAAGTGTTTGAGCTTCCTATACACATTAACAAGGCATAGAGGCGAGTTTACGTTACAATGTAGTCAATATGCTATCGAACGAGTAATTCGAGATAAACAATTGTTAATAATCTACTTGGTCATGGCATCTCAGGACAAGAATTAGAGATGCGCCTAACTCGAATGTTTAGATTTGGTTTTGACTATGATCATTATCAATAATAGCCTTTACTATGGTAGATTTACGCCCAGTTGAATAAATGATCTAAAAGCCAAAGGTATGTAGGTATCTTGAAAAAAGTCAACGATGTTCGGAAACATACAAGCTTGAATTCGATTGAATCTCAAGATACTTCTATAATTGTCTATATAACTCAAGAAATATTTGGATTATTACTCAAATATCCGATACTGTTTAAATAGTTGTCGATCCCATAATTTCATTTTGTATTTCTTCCTCATCTAAACTGATTATTGATCATCTACGGCAATTGTATGGGTGCTATATACAGTTCCTCTTTGTCATAGTAACCCTAGACGAACTTCTGTTGGTCTACGCAGGAGATACTTGAGAATCTTGATCAAGAAAGTCATGCGCTATGGACAAAACTTGAGGTCTCCGCAGGTCAAGTGCATGAAAAAAGAAAAGTTCGCCTAGGGAACACTCAATTGTCTAATATTAATGATTACTAATCGATAAGATAGTTATTGATTCTGATGAAATTCTAAGAAAAATATTTTTTGGAATCTTGTATTTCCTTAAAGTATCAAATTCTATCCAGTAATTAAAATTTTTGAGTAAAATCTCGCAATTCATCTTGAAAGCCACGATTAAACTAACTTTGGGCAAACAAATACAAAAGATTTGCATTTACATTCTAGTTCAAATCTGATCGATCATAAAAAAAAAATTAAGTATTACATCTATATGGTTAAAAAAAAAAATTTGAAATTTTCTTACGGTTAAAACAGATAATATAAGATCATAATTATTAATAATAAAAATTAATTGTTCTTTTCTTTGTGGAAATTCATTTGCCATTCGAAGTATAAGTGTAAGTATTTCAACTTGTAAACGTGTCATTAATGTTGAAATTTTTTCATTTGCAAATTCTTCATTTAATCTTGTTACAGCTCCAGAAAATTCTGCATAACGTCGTACAATCTAAAAAATATTTTTTTTCTTTCAAAAAAAAAGAAAATCAAAGACTATTCATACAAAATGTGGATTAAGTTCAATAGATGAAAATTTATGTGGTTCAACACGTTGTACACTATCAATATTAGTTTTCATAACAATTTCAAAACGATTTTCACATATATGAATTAATAATTCATGAAATCTATAAAATAATATTATTAATATTATATAAGAATATATTTTAATATTTACTTATTTAATATAGGTACATTACGTTTATTAGCTATAACTTGATAACGATAAAGTAGATGCATACAAAGTAATATAGCTATTGGATCATATGATTCTAATATAAAAATTTCAACATTTTTTTGTATTAATTTAAATGTTTTTTCAAATATTTCCATAAAAAAATCTGGTGCTGATCGATTATTTAACATAAAAAAATCACATAAAAATAAATATTCACGACAACAATTATCTAATAAAGCATATTGTTCACTACGAAATAAATATTCATATGGATACTAAAATAAAGAGAAAAAAAAAACAAAAAAAATATTTGTTATTTTTTATATCTGCTTTACTTTTGTTTCAGCTTTTTGTTGAGCATGTGGAATCATTATTGGAGCTTCTAATTCTTGTTTAAGTACACAATCACGATTACCCAAACTGAAAACAGTTGCACGATGTTTTAAATGTGGCTTTATGAAATAAATATAAGATAATAAAAGACAAAAAAAAAAGAAATGAATGTGATATTTACACGAGCAGTTGTTGAAAAGAATGACATATTTGATCGAGGACGATCATCAGCACCAAGTACATCGTCTTTATCTGGTTTTTCATCTAACTATGAACAAAAAAAGATTTTTTTTTTTTTGATATTGATAAATATGGATGTGTTAACTTTCTCAAGAGAGAACATTTGAACAGATTGTATCTCTCTATTTGATCGAACGAAATTGTTTAGTGATTGAACTAGGAAACCTTTGTAGGAGAATCTTAGCCATTATTGAAAACTGAAAATACGATATTTTCTTCGTCTATAATGTAGGATTGTCTGATTATTAGAGGAAGCTCAAGGAGGCTGAGTCGTCCTCTAGCTTCATCACTAAAATAGGGGTTACCGGACGTTCGCCAATAGGAATTTCACAAACTGTACTTTCGCCAATTGGCGAATTTCTAATGAACTTTCTCGAATTTAAGTAGAATGATAGTATTGGTTAGAGAGATTGATATCGACTATATTCTTAACTGTATGACTTGAGCTACATTTTTATAATGCTAGGCATAGTTCTTGTACATCACTTACGATATGAATGTTTCATTTCCATTAATGAAAATCTATTTGACTTTCGCTAATTCGTCCCCCTGGATATTCGCTAATTATTGGCGAAGTTCCGGAATCACCTAAAATAGCTACGAAACAAGAAGAAGAGATCTCTTGGCAAATATAAGACAACAGACTTTTGCTCAAGTTGGAAACACATGATTCTGTGAGTTCCGATGATCTGGTCAGGAAGGAAAGTTATTATTACATAACCAAGTAATGAGTAAAAAAAAATATCTGTGACTATGATTATCTCGTCAGAATAAATCTCTTTCACGAAAATAAGAAATTAGCATCGCATGGTATTTCTTCGGTCAAGCAGATTTACATATCAAGATTGAGTATGTTCTTGTCTTTGCCAAATCCGAAAAAAACCATAATAAGATGTGATTTGTTAAGATAATATCATGCTGCTCAATGAATGAAAAACAGAAAACCCTCGGCTAATATCTGTTTAGCTAGGAGAGAACTTTTTCAATCAATCAGAAGGTTTTCCGCCTAATTGTAAAGACAAAACTGTGTTGTCCTAATCTATCAGGAATTATTATCGGAATTTTTAAAGAAGACAACTGAAAAAAAAAACAGCTTTTAACTTTTCAACGAAAGCATCAAACAATCTATTCTTTCTTTGATAAACTCACAAATATTCTATTATCCGTTACTAAGTAACTCTACATCATTAATATTGATACATATATATTAAATATTCTAATAAAAGTAAAGAATTTTATTTATTTAACTTACTTGAAGTTTCATTAATTTACTTGAATATGCTTTAAAATATGAAAAATAAACTTTGCTTAATGTATCAATATATTCTCGTCGAATTTCATCGGCTATTTGTCTATCATTTGTTAATAAAAATTCATAAAAAAATCTATTTCTTAATAAAGCATTTTGTGGTACTTCATAATTAGTCATTGGTTTACGAAATTGATAAATTTTTTGTAATATAAATTCACGAATTTTACTAATTGTCTATTAAAATATAAACAATAAAAAATAAATTAATTTTAGATTACAAATAAAAAAAAAAATATATTACTTTTATACGTAATTTTTCTAAAACTTCTTGTACATCTTGACAAGCAATAGCATCATGAAATGATTGTTCTTTAACAAATTTTATTTTATGACTTAATTCATGAAGTTGTTCAAGAAATTGTCGTTCAGTTACTGGTACATCCATAATAATTCTATCAAAAAAAAAAATTTTTATTAAACAAATTGAAAATTTATTTAGTTTTTTTTAAATATATGTTACTGTATCATTGATTGTGGTACAACCATTTCATCAACAACTTGACTTAATTGTCCACGTACAAGTTCACGATTTTTTTTTTTAATATTTAATTCAGCTGAATATTGTTGTAAATGACGAATTTCATTACTTATATTTGCTAAATTATTTTGAAAATTTCTTAACATATGATCCATTGACTATGAAAAATCAATATTAAAAAAATTTAAAAAAAAAATAATATAAAGAAAATTTACTTCTAGAATTTTATCACATGATGATATTTGCATATGAAGATTTGCAATATTATTTGCTTCACCAATAACTTAAAAGAAAAAAACAAAAGAAATCTTTTTTACATGCTTTGTAAGACATGATCTAGAAGGATTATTAAAGTATAAGGGTAGAAAGTCGAATCTTCTTCGCTCCACAGGCGTTCTTATCCTGCAATAGAAGGACATCTTCGAAAGAGAGAGATGTGAATTTCCCTAATGGAAGATCATAGCTGTTTATGTGCGCAGGTGATTACCTTAGTTGGAATATTCTAAAAGTGATCAATACCAAATTAGTGTTAGAATAGAAATCTGTAGGATAATGTTGGTGCATCTCTGGTCGAATTCAATAAACCAAATAGACTATGAAAAGAGTAGCTTGAGGCTTGCCGAAACGGTTGGATGTAATAATGACTTCGAAAATTATTCAATCAGATTTATTTTAAAATATTTTATCACTATTGTAAACGCTAATAACAGTCTAAATAATGATTTCAGTAAAGAACTTTAGCGGATAAAAATGATTGTTAGTTGCTAAAGGATGGAACTTTTGAAAAACTAAAACTCAATTTTTTTAACTCCTAGAACTTAACATTTTGTTAAATAAAAATCTTATTCTTGAAAAACTAGCGATCATTTTTCTCTGCAAAAATTCTTATGAGCAATAAAAATCTCTACTAGAATCACTATTCGAATTCTTATTAGCGTTTATGGTAGCAGAAAAAGTTGAAAATAAATCTAATCGAATAATTTTGAAAGTCATGATGTTATGTAAGCATTGTCATTTTGAAGTTTTTGATAATTAATAAGTGTCGTACATTATATATATATACGTTGTAGCTCGATCTAACGAGGGAATGTTTTCAACTGTCAAATCGCTTTTGATTTCGGGCTTTGTACATATGACAGACTCTAGTGAGGTATGAAAAACCTCAAGAGATTAAATCCCTATAGGACTTCTGTCCAGAATTATAGGCATTTTACTGAAAATTTAGCCTAGGGTATGGTATATACGAACATATTGAATGATGACGTTTCGGTCTGAGATTTTGCCAACAGACAGGCTTATTGATGATTAGAATATTCTGAAAATTTCAGCTCAAAAGAACATTTCCTTCTCGAGATATTAAAGTTCCAAAAATGACTCATATAGGACCACAAATGCTAGGATTTTCTGTTTTTTTGGGACCTTCATATCTCGGGAAGGACATGTTCTTTTGAGCTGAAATTTTCAGGATATTCTAATCATCAATAGGTCTGTCTATAGGCAAAATCTCAGACCGAAACGTCGTCATTCAACTTGTTCGTATATACTATGCCCAGAGCTAAAATTCCAGTAAAATGCCTATAACCCTCTTGAGGTTTTTCATACCTCACTATGGTCTGTCTTATGAACAAAAGTCCAAACTCAAAAGGTATTTGACAGTTGAAAACGTTCCCTCGCAAAATATGAAAAATGTTTTTTATGACTGTATTCAACTGAAAATTTCAGAGATAGTGAATGAAAGAAAAATCTTTCTAAATTCTTTATGACAATTCAAATAATAGTGTCCTCATTTATTTTTCTATAGATCATATATTCTAATACGTACAATCTTGTACAAAAGCTTTTTCATGTACTTGTAATTTTTCTTGTATCTGTTCAGAATATTGCACTAAATCAATATCCTATAAATATGAATATGTTTGAAGATATGAATTGTTTTTTTTTTCTTTTTCTTTTCGAAGAATATTTACTTGAGTAAGAGCTTCTTGAACAAATTCATCTTGTAAATTTTCTTCTATATGAGCTATATAATAAATTAATAAATTGAAAATATTAAATATTCTATATTAAATATAATACCTTCCATATCATCTAAAGACCATTCTTCATCTACTGGTTTATCCAATTGAAGTTTTTGTAATATATTTGCAGCCTAATTGCGACAATATGATAAAAAAAATGACATATTAATAAATAGATATAGTAACTATTTACTTCAAGATAAAGTTGTTCACTTTCTAAATCACCTAGATCTGTATGCTCAGTATGGAATGGTTCTTCAGTGGTCATGATTATATATCTATTTATCTAAAAACAATAAATCTATACAAAACCAATATTGGGATGACTGAGTATAATGAGTTAAAGTTTGTTGGAATGTTATTGTAATAAGAATCCTTTACAATAGAAAATCATCTCGAAATTTGATGACGATTATCTTGTTCTTATCTTTTATTTCTATTAAATAGACAAATAAAAACTTATTTGTTGTTAACGATTTAATAGGTTTCAGATTCATTTGCGAACAACTCTTATTGTAGAAATAGATGCAATCGAATAATCAAAAACTTTCACAATAAAATTTTGTCGTTAAGATCTATTTTTGTGCAAAATTTCAAGTTAAAATTCAGTTTTTCTAGTATTTCGGAGGAGAAATCATGATATTCTGCTAATTATAATAAATATCTAATTTCATAGTAAAACAAAATCTGAATTTTTGTTTCAAATCATTATCTACACATGATAAATATTCTTGTCCTATTATAGTTTAACATAAATACAAAAATAACAAATAAAATAATTATTTTTCTTTTTTTTTTCCTTTTCTATTTATTAATAATTCATATAAACATTTTCTTTTTAACGAGGTTGTCGTCTAGATAAATCACTTGATCCATTCGAATTTGAAATCGATTGATTATTTATATCAAAAGCTGAACGACATGTTGAACATGTTGATGCATTATCACAATAAATAGATAAACATACGGAACAAACATAACCTGTATCAATTAATTTATGATGACAAAAACATGCTGGACGATAATCAACAGCTACTTTTGTTGGTAATGCAAGCATTTTACGAACTTCTTTATCAGTTAAATAAAGCCAAAGTAAATATTGTAGTAAACCATTAGGATCTGGTACACGTAAATATATACCTGATGTTAAATCACCTAATGAAAAAAAAAATCATCGATATAAGTTCTATCTCAAAAAATAAGTTTAGATTTTTCTTACGAGGAAACATTTTCAATTGTCAAATCCCTTTTGAGTTCGGACTTTGTGTATAAGATAGACCCCAATGAGATATGAAAAATTTCAAAAGATTAAATCTCCTTAGGCCTTCTATTCAGAGTTATAGGCATTTTTACTGGAATTTTAGCCTAGGGCATGGTATATACGAATAAATCGAATGACGGTATTTCGATCTGAGATTTTGCTCACAGGCAGGCCTATTTATGAGCGGAATGCTCTGAAAATTTCAGCTCAAAAGAACGTTTCCTTCCCGAGATATTAAAGTTTAAAAAAACCAGAAAATCCTAGCATCTTTTGTTGTATATGAGTCATTTTTGGGACTTTAATATCTCGAGAAGGAAACGTTCTTTTGAGCTGAAATTTTCAGACCATTCCAATCATAAATAGACCTGTCTGTGGGCAACATCGCAGATCAAAATACCGGCATTCGATTTGTCGGTATATATCATGTCATAGGCTAAAATTCCAGTAAGATGCCCATAACTCTGAGCAGAAGGCCTAAGGAGACTTAATCTTTTTGGATTTTTCATATCTCATTGGGGCCTATCTTATGCACAAAGTCCGAACTCAAAAGAGATTTGACAGTTGAAAATGTTCCCTCGTTAGCTTTGCTATGTTCTACTCTTTGCTGAAAATGAGGATCGAACGGCACCCGACAATCGCATATATTCCTATTAGTTGTTTTGTAAAATCACTATTCAATAAAAATTTTCAAAACGTATTTAATATGGAAACATTTTGCCAGGACTATTATAAAAGAGGTTATCAGCACCCAGCGGAAAAAAAGACTATCAAGATCGACATAGAACTACAAAAAAAATGACTTCATACTTCTCTAGCTGAGACAAAACTTTGGAGAGTTACGAAATAATTTTTATTGTTTTTGAACTTACAAGCTTGTTGTAAAAGACTAGAATCATTGTTAAGTATACAACCATCAATAGGTACATTAATTTTTTCTGATGTAAAAACTGCATTCATAAAATTCATATATTGTTTTGATGTATCTGTTGTTGTTTGAATAATTAATATTCTAAATGAATTTTTTTCACCTGGTAATGTATCATGTATAAGACGATTAATATAACAAAGTGCTTGTGTTAATGCCATTGTTATCATTGAACCAGATGATGTATGTGTTGATGATAAATTTTGTATAAATTCTTTAAGATTATTTTCTACAATACGATCAATAACAAATAATTGTTCAAATAGATTTGTTTTTGTTACTGTTGGTATAATTAATGATTCATTTATTGAATCAGGATAAAGAAAATATGTTTCATTATTTGAACAACCAATTATTGTTAAACGATGATTTATATCAAATGCAATATATGCATTACAAAATTGAATTATTATTTTAAGATATTGTTTAAAATTTAATGTTGTTGTTGATGAAACTTTATCAGACCAATATAATGGATTAAGATCAATTATAACAACAAGATGTTTTATTGATGAAGACATTTTGTTTTTATATAAAGATAAATCTAAAATATTGTTTTTTTTTTAAGTCTATTTTACTTCTTTTCTATAAGATTCGTTTTATATATTGATTCAAAGAGTAGAAAGGACTTTATAGAAGACAATGATAACTAAGCGCCTTAAAGAAAAGTAAATGTTATCTGCAGTAGGTGTATTATTTTTATTTTGCAAACTATTTTCGGATAATGTTACGATGTATACTAATGAGAGGCTATTTGATCTCAATCGGAAACCTGTCTGCTTCTGAATTTTTGGATGTGTCCTAATCTTTCTCATTATTTTTAATGTGATTTTTCAAGTTGCTTCGACGATGCACGATATTCGATATCGATTATTATTATTTTATTCCTAAAACACGTCTACTAGAGTATGACAATCAAGCACTCACAAAAAATAATTTTCCTTAAGATGTGTTTCTATCAGTGTATTATCCAGAAGGATGCCTGGGGGGCGACACCCCCCTCCCCGAGACTCGCGATCATCCCGCGACAAACTATATGGCTTGCCCTTCCGGAATTTCAAATCGCCCCTCCGGAGAAAAAAACCTGGATAAAACACTGGTTTCTATGCAAATTTTTAAGTCGAAATTCCAAAACTGCCTATCTCTGGTGTTCCTAAAAGAGACTACAGCGCTCACTAAAAAAAACCTTCTAGTGCAATTCCTTCAGAATAACACTGTAACGCATGATCCAGTTGTTGTTGCTAATTGCAGGAAGATTATTTTATTCGATTTATTATAGGACACATATATTCACTATTTTTTGAATTGATCGTCGAGAAATGGAATAAGAAAGTAGTTCATATATTATAACGAGGTACTATTGATATACAATTTGACAAAAACAGCGTAAAAGTGTAGTATTTCAGCAACAATAAGCTAAGAGCTCGAACTTGTTTTCAGAGTATTCATATATCATTTCAACCTACATAATACACGTAGTTTTGACTCAACAGTAATTTATCAGTTGGCGAACTTTCCTTATTAGTCCAGGATCGATGCCATGGATTCTATCCATATCAGTCTTTATTTTTTTCACGAAAAAATTCAAAATATTCTGTTTACCAAAGTAGACTATTTTAAAGTAAATAATGACAATTCAATACATCAATGAATGTATATCATTATCAAAAAATCTTTTTTGTTACATACCTTAGTCATAATCAAAAATTCGCTAAATATGTTATAAAAATTATTACTATGCTTTATCAAGTCTAATTATACTTGAAATTATTTTAAACATTACATTTATCTTTCTTTAATTAATAATAAACTTAAATAAAAATTTTGTATCCTAGACAAAAAATTGATTTCTTGACTGATTATTTTTCAAAAAAAAAAAAGAAAAACAAATCTTTTGTTTCTTCTTATCTATTTGTAATGATCATATATTTTTATCATCTAAAAAAAAAGAAGAAAAAAAAATATCGAGATTATTATTTTCTTGTTTATTTTGTACACCGGTCAGACAATTACTCTTTCATGATATACACACAGCTCATAGCATCAGACATTTTGTCAAAAACAAATATATAGAATAAAATATACATGTATATATGTATATACATAACAATAAAATATTGATTGCTTTGAATAAAAAGGACCCACTCGAAAAAACAAAAAAAAAAAATGACTTAGAAGATAACCCACACTATATACAATACAAAAAGAAGAAAAAAAAAACAGAAGCAAACAGAAAGATTATTGAAAATTAAAAAAAAAGAAAACAAGAAAAAAAAATGATTACTTTTTTACAGATTCATCAGATACGTCATCATCATCATTATGAACAGTAGCCATTCGTGATTGTTGACCAGTATAACGACGTTTTTTAAATGGTAATTGTTCAGTACTTTGTTTATTTGTTTCTAATGATCGTTGACTTTGTTTATCTTCTTCATTTTCATGACGTTTATGTTGTAAAAAAGACATTGATTCACTTGTTGATGCTGATTGAAGAATATTACATATACGTGTTGATGATGTTTGTGATGGTGGTGGTATAGGTGGTGGTACAAATAAATTTGTTGGTGTATAATGTGCAAATTGTAATGAACGATGATCAATTGGTGTTAATATATGTACGGGTTGTGATGGATGTTGAGTTGGACTTGTTATTAATAATACACTTGTATTACCAGTTAAGGATGTTATATCAAATGGTGTACCAGATGGATTTGTTGTTGGTGTAGCTGTTGTTATATAAGCAATATTTGCTGTTGGAAGAAAATAAGTTGGTAATGAATGAGATTGGGTTAATGGAAATAAATTTGTTAAATGTGGTAATGATGTTGTAGGAACACCTGTATTTGACGATGATGGAATTTGTATTGGCATTGTTGTTTGACCAGCTATAGGTGATGAAAAATGAGGTGAATGTGTTAGAACATGTATACGATGTGGTTGAGATGATTCAATAGATGGTGGTGGTGATGATGTTGTTGTTGTTGTAGAACTTGTTTGAGAATATTCAGTAAAAGCTGTTGGAGTTGTTGGCATGAAAGATGAATGAACTTCTAAAATAAGAATAAATGAGAAATAGAATTTTTGTTTAATGGTTATTGTGTAAACGGCTAAATTTTGAAGAAATTAATATTCTTTAGCAAATGTCAATCATCATTAAAATAATGATAAGAAGATATTAGACTAATACCATATAGAAATTCAAATGTGAAATATGATTAGTTTGCAATATGTTTTAAGTTAAAAAGTTCTGAAAAATATGCTTCAACTTGAGATTTAACACATACTGATATGTCTCTTTTATGAAAGATGTTATTCATAATATGTTACAGAGAGTTTGAAAAGAAATGCAATTCAAAAAACAAATATCTTCAATTGAATTTTTTTGTATAATAATTCCACCAAAGGCTTTAGTTCTGCAGGTAACATGGGAACTTCTTTTTCTTGCTTGTTTTTGATATCAATGATCTTTTTATCTATCGTTCTAATAAAAATCCTAAAAAGATTAGATATAACTCCTTTTTCCATGGATGCTGTATATAACATGCATTATTTGAAAGTTGTATATTTCAAATAAATTTTGTTCAAAACTTCTGAACTTTTATTTATTTTTTTTTTTTTATGGAACCTAATCTAATTAAGATTTTTAAAAGTAGAAAATTTAAAATCAAACCTCGAAAGCCTAAAGCTACTAGAAAAAAAAATTCGATGCTTAGTAAAATCCGAATCTATTTAGCAGTTTTATTAGAATATTATCTAGTATCTATAGGTAATAATTAGAGCCCTGCGGTTCTAAAATAATTGGAACCGAGAACCGAACCAAGGACCGGATATTTCTGTTTCTCTTACCTGGAACCGGTCCGGAACCGTCAACTCAATGACTCGGTATTTTATATGTTACGGTAAAATCGTCGGTTCCTTTTTCTGTTCCAAAAAAATTTTCGGAACCGAAAAAGGAACCGCTTTTTTCGATTTCGCGAACCGGAACCGACGGTTCCGATTCGGTTCCCGGGTAATGTTAGGAATCGCAGGGCACTAGTAATAATTCATTAAAATCGGAAGAGGGGATAGCTGAAGATATTTCCTCATGATTCTACCAGAGATTATGGGTGACTCAAATTTCTACTGCTATATTTAAATAATTCTTCTAAATCGTATTTTACAAAAAAAAATTCTTATTAGAACCTATTAGATTTGCAATTTTTGAATTCTACTTTGATACTCTCAATAAAATGTCACTTTGAAGATATGAAAATACATTTTTTCTAATAATTTTGTATTCGATGACTAGCGTGCCCTACACACTTCTTAGATGATTGGAGTCCATCAAGTACGAAATTTTCGGACCTGATGGCTCTAGTTGTTAGGCTTGAAATGGGTGCGTTTTTTTTATTTTTTTTTTGTAACGAAGAAGTTTACCCAAAACCACAACTATTAGTGTTAATTAGATTAAATAGTTCATACCGAATTCCGATAAGATCTTTCTTTTTAGTTTTCTATGAATTAAAGATGAGAAAAGCATAGCTTGTGATAAAAAAAAAATTTTTTTTTTCCTTTATTTTTTTAATATTTCGTCTTTTTTTTATGAAGTTATATGAAAATTTTTATTATAATAATTTACTTAAAAAATTGAATTCAAAAAATAGTATAAAAGAATTCTCAAGGCTTCTATTTGCTTCATTACAATTGTAAGGATTCATCTTCAAGGCATGTCTCAATTATAGAAACGAATAGATAACTCTCTCAATCATTTTCTTTCAGGGACGGCGCGAAGAGGTCGAAGCAGGGGGGGGGGGCAGTCATAAAATCGGAGAAAGTCAAAAAGTGTTCTCTAAACTGAAATTTTCTCCGAATCAAAATTTTATAATATACTTCTCCAAAATCGGAGAAAATTGTCTACTCATTTTTTCCAAAATTGGATTTTTCCGGATTCATAGAAATATATTCAACACTATTGTATAAATTCGCAGAAAATTCTAGTTTGAAGAACATTTTTGGGCGATTTTCTCCGATTTTGGAGAATTTTGTGTAATATATTTCTCGGAAATCGGAGAAAATCGCCTAAAAATGCCCTCCAAACTTGAATTTTCTCCGAATTTAGAGAAAACTATCAAGTATATTTCTCCAAAATTGGAAAAAATTGCTTTGTAAATTCTCCAAAATCGGAGAAATTATCGTAGTAAATTCCCCGAAATCGGAGAAAGTACCAGCTAAAATTTTCTGGAGCAGGAGGGGGTGACCCCCTATCCCTCCCGGTCGCGCCGTCCCTGTTTCTTTGCTCAATTTTCAAAAAACAAAAATCATTCAATCTTCTCGTCCAATCTGTTGACTTCTATATTCAAGAGTTTACCATTATCAATACATATATCTACATAATAATCTTACGCTGTATATTTTAAAATACACTAAAAAGTCAAGCAATCATATGAAGTGTATTTTAATTAAAATTTTTTTTTTTGTTTTTTCTTATGAATTCTACCTGAATTTCTTAATGTAGATGATGAAGTAAAATGAACTGGTG